CAAACGGCTGCAGTACGACGAGATTCATCCGTCCCTTTCGGTTGAGATCGACCAACGAATCTCTTCTTCATGCACTTTCATACGAAATGAAAGTCCCCCAAACAATAACCTTTAACACGAAACCGAATTCAACCTGACAACGGACTTTCTGGATATTCACTGAGACTTAGTTACTCTTTGCAAAAAAGGATGCTTTTATGTACATTGTGGAGGAGTGGACCAATGAATGCGGCGGTTTTGCATTAAATCGTCCCCTGAAGTGCAAGTATAACACTTTAATTAGATTAAAAATTGTAATTCAAGCGGCGAGTAAAAGAGTACTCGATGCTGGTGTGGCTGTAAAGTGGAGTACGGTATGGTATGGCGGTTGAGTGATGCCTCGATAAGGGTGAATGTGGTGCAAAACAGAAGACAGAAGTGAGAGAAGCTTTCGCGAAGCCCCAGTTCGCTGCCATCTCGAGGGGTTCGTGGATGAGACAAGCGGAATGGTCAGTTGTAGGTAATCGTGTGCAATCTGAAGTAGAGCGTCGGGTGAAAGTGTATTGTGCACACACCAGCACTTGGCAGTTGAGTGGGGACTTGAGCTGCAGTTGAATTCGCGATTGCCTCGCTGAAAGCGGGAATGAAATTAATTTTGTGCTTGAATGGTAACATGTGACATGCCTGTCTGTTGTATCAACTGGGAAGAGGCTAGAGGGGGGGGGCGTGGACTCGAAAATATCCCATTTTTACAGGCTCCGGTTGAACGTTGCCCTACTGGGCGTCGCGTGCCCGAGCAGAAGCGAAATCGGAATAGGCCAAGTGGAGTCCGTGTTCTGGGGGGCGGTCGCATTTACAGCCAGGACGCCGAGGAGCCGGGGGCCGGGGGCGAAGAGAAAGCGCCGAGTTGCCAGCTCAGCTTCACAGCTCATCGTAGACGGGCCCTTCGGAGTCCGGCCTGCACACGTCGTGCTCGACGCGGGTGTACATTGTGGCCGGTTGTCGTTGGGGCGTGTGGTCCGAGGGCGGAGTGCGCAAGGCCGAGCTGACCGAGATCTCTTCGGTGCCCGGCTTGGAGGAGAGGTGGAGCACTATGCGTAGCTTGTCGCGGATTCTGGCTCCAGACAGAGGATGTGCGATGAGAAAACAAGGTTTGGAAAAGCGGCCTTACAACAAGTCTGGGCAACCGACT